CTATCTAGTGTATATAAGATATCTATGGGTAAATTAGTGATTAATCGTACCTCGCAAGACAAAGGATTTCGAGGCAACTATGATATTATTTGAGTAGTGACATATTATAATCAAACGTGTAAAAAGCTATAGTATTATTATACACGCACCAGTTGTAACAAACCTGTAGCAGACGTGTAGCAATGATGTTCCCACACCTTGTCAACAGGATATGTTCGCACTGCTTGTCCTCAGCGTGTTGACAAGTTGTCAACGGCTCGTTAACAATCAACTTGCTACAAGGTACGTTGTTGAGCTCAACAGACTTGTTACAAGTTGTCCAAAGTCCCAATTAACGTCATGCAATTCAACAATTTGTCAACAAGTTGTGAATCACAACTTTGTAACGACTTGATAAAATAACAGCATTGTTATACAATTTGTTTACAAGCTTGCTACAAGCCTGTTGAGAACATATCTTGTTGACAAGTTGTGAGACATTTACGTGCCTCTACCTTACGGTAACCAAAACGTAAACCCATGTATTCTATTTTTCCACAGGCCGACATTTTTTATGTCGACTATAATTGGAGAGATTTCTAATTAAATCATATACAACAAACAACTCGCATTTTATGCCTTTTTTGTAACTGAAATAGAGAAATTCAAATTTTCATTAATTCATCATTCCATTTTTAGAATGCAGTGAAGGACTTTTCATCTTACTTCCTAAATTTCTTGTCTCGCAATATATTTGTATAAAAGTTGGACGTTTAATTTTATCACAGACTATTAATAATTAATTTTCATCTTTAAGTCCTAATTAAACTCCTGTCATCAATATAACAATAATTATTATCCAACTAGAAATCACGTAATTATTGGCTGAATTCACAGGAATAAATATGCAATTAGGCCGTGGGCTGTTAGCCAAAATTATTTCGCTTCGTGGCACCCATGTGGAAAATACTTGGTTTGGGGTTTATTTGAAAGGCAAATAGGTACATCACTACCAAAAAAAGTTCCCAAGCAAAAAAGTTGCCCAATCCCGAGAAAATGGGTGATCAATGATTATCCTCTATTAAATTGTATTACAGCAAAAAAATGAGAAATTCTGTATTCAATTACAATAAAAATGACATGCATCATCGGAAAACGTACAAAAAACCGCATATAAGACTTTTAAACAGTTTTTTGATTTTTCAATTAGTCTTTGAGTTATTGCTGTTTTAAATGTGAAAATTGGACCAAAATGTCGCAATAAAGACTGGGTACTAGGTCAAAAACACGTTTTTGACAGCGTATAACTCGAAAACAATTTTAGATATAAAAAACTGTTTAAATGTCTTATATGTATGTTTTTGTAAGCTTTCTGATAATGCAAGTCATTTTTGTTGTAATTGAATACAAAATTTCACATTTTCTAGCTGTAATACAATTTATAAATATAGGTTATCATATAAGGGATGAGGTGATATCAGTTTTATCGCTCGAGAGATGATATCACAATTGTCACGAGCGAGCGCAGCGAGCGAGGGACAATTGTGATATCGTCCCGAGAGCGATAAAACTGATATCACCGAATCCCGAGTACGATAACCTATTTATTATATACTTGTACCTTTATCAGGGTTTGACACCCAAAAGGTCGTAACAGTTTTGAAACTAAAATAGGATCATTTTAGAATTCAAAAAAATTCATCATTTACCGAACAAATATGATTTTAGAAAATAAATAGACCATTCATATAGATAATATACAATTTAAGTCTTTCGTTTTGTATTATCGTTCTTGTTTTCTTCGATAAACTGTCGACATCAACCAACACGAACCTCGAGTCGGCCATCTTTGTTTTGACAAGGTGCGAAATTTAGCGAGACAAAAAACGATATCCGGGACAAAAAACGATATCCGGGACAAAAAACGATATCCGGGACGATATCGTTTTTATGTCCCACTGCTTCCTACCTGATAATGGGTACAAGTATGTGATAATAGAGGATAATCACTGATCACCCATTTTTTCGGTGTTGTGCAAGTTTTTTGCTTGAGAACTTTTTGTGGTAATTAAGCATCTATGGTTCTATGAATTGAACCACAGAAAATCTATTTCCCAGGAGGGTGCCACGAAATTGCTTTTCTAGGCACTTTTTCGCGCAACAGCCCACGGCCCAAATGTTGAAGTAGGATCGTAGGTTCTCCAGAGCATAGGCGTACGGGTCTGATGCTTTCCGAGAGAGGGGGGGGGGCAGTTGAAATTTGTTGAAGTGCTGTAATGAACTAACCTGAATTTAACATATTTTCTGATAAATCTACCCACATTTTCTTGATTTTTCCCAGCATTTGCCCGAATTTCCATGGTTTTTTAAAGTTGTTTTTTTGGGGGCGGGACTCTCTCCTCCTGCCTCGTACGCCTATGGTCCGAGGTCTGCACTGCCGAAAGAAGGGTCATCCCGGATTGCCGGGCTGCCAGCCTCATATGAAAATCTCTTATATATACTTCCTTACAACAAAAACTTTCATCAGCTTCCTGGAAAGCATCCCCGCCTTTCTCATGCATGGAAAGCTGCGGACAGTTTCTAAAGGGCATGCGCAATCTTGTATACAAAATAGTGTCCACTCCCCAAAGGTATATTCAGATGGCTCCAAATAGCTCCAAATGCTCAACTACGATTGCGCGGGCTGTTATGCTTTACTAGGGAAATGAAGATTGTATTGTAATTGGCTAAAACAATGTCTTGCTAAAAATCACGACAAATGTTCCCATATTACAGCAAGTGCTTGCAGAGAGGCAGGATAAACATCATATATTAAATTATCGCTGGAGGTTTTCCAGAAATGGTCATTAAGTAAAAGACTTTACTTACACTGAAAGCTGACACTGTGACACATCACTATATTAGAATAGACCGATAACTTAATGGTCCTACATTTCGTCATTTACCGGTCCTAGACTGTCTTAGCCCAAATATTATTATTATTATGAACAATTACCATGGTTACGTTTTAAGCATATATTTATAGTTTAAGACAAATCTCGGTTAGCGAGAAAACATTTCGTTAAGTTTAATTACAAGCGAGATCTCGCCTTGTTATGAAAATAATATGAAAAGTTACACTGCGTGCATATGAGATGAAGTTTTCCCGTATACCGAGATCTCGCTTGTTGACAGGCTAGGCGAGATCTTGGTGACTGGGATGTTTTTCCCATATGAACACAACATAGCCACAACTTTCACGCTAAGCGGGAAAACTTTCTGTCGTGTCAGCAACTTTTCTGTTTCTAAAATGTATTCAGTTTAATGTTTTTTTAACTTTTCCCGCCTTGCGCGTCACATCAGTGCTACGTCACAGCCAGAAACTTTACCCGGTAATAAGCGGGATAACGTTTCTCCATATATGAACAGAACAAAATTATTTGGCTAGTAGAAATGTTTTCTCGCTAACCGAGATAACCTTTCACCAATATGAACATGCAGGGCATAAAACAATTTTTAACAATATAACAGTTCAATCTGCTTCCTATACACTGATAGGAAACGCGTGATGATGCCGTCTCAACCTAATTGAAACTGACATCACCAAATCCAAAATAATTTGAAGCTCTTACATTTTAGTAGAGCTCTTACATTTTAATCAAAAAACTATAATAAATATAACCGCACACCACTCTACGATGAAATATCTGAATATTTTCGGTCAATTTCAGGAAACATTTCAAACATCAGACGGTCAGTGAAATATGCGCCACAAATTTTAATTAAATCAACGGTCCATATAGTTTTTGTGACGCCAATTTCTTAGCTATCAAAGTAAAAAAAAACATAAAACAAAGAATATAAAACCACTTTCCTCAAATGCTAAGTTGTGATAAAGGCAGGTTTGTAAGGTTTGTAAGACAATAAAACCATTAATTAGTTCCACCGCTACTCGAATACGGAAAATATAAGAAAATTACAGAAAATGCCGAGAAATTTCAGCATATTCGCAGTTATTCGTGACATCCGAATTTCAAAATATATAAGTTAGTCGATGGCGCAAGCTGTACTTTCCTATCCAGTTACTTAACTATCCATGACTATTTAACAATTATTCGCCGAAGGCGAGGTGATTATTCGGGAATATTCGCCGATACGAAGTCGAGGTGAATGTTCCCCGATAATCACCGAGCCTGAGGCGAATAATTCTTTTCGTCTTTTTACACAAGTCTTTTGTGTTTTCTTGGGACTGAATTTATTTTAATTTCGCTTATTTCTTTATCAGTAACTTAACAAAACGGCTAGCCGCCATTTTGAAAATTTCGGTTTTGTTCTATTCACCTGTAGGTGAATATAACAGCTTAATACGTCAAATTTGACCAATCAACTTGTAGGATTTGTTCAGTATTCACTTGTGCAAAAATACTGAACTACAATGATTCACGAAATAACTTTCACTTAAACGGTCTGTGACAGTGTATATGGTAGTTTCAGTAATAAGAAAGCTAGTCGGATTGATAAAGTTACGACTACCTGAAAAATACAAGCAGAACTTCAGTTGATGTTTCGAGCGAAAGGCACTACTAACTTCCGACGAAAGGCCTTCGCTCGAAACGTCGAAATTCTCCTTGTATTTTTCAGGTAGTTGATCAATTAATCCGAAGCTTAACTTTGATTTATCACTTTTTCTGGAATTTATATATACTTACAGTATGCTAGTATAACAGTACGTTTTCAATTGTCCAAATACAGGGATTGTCCGAGCATCACTGACGCTGTCATTATAGATGTCAATAAAATTTCGTACTTTTCACACTGAGTATATATATTACTTGCATGTTGATAAAATTTTATAAGCAAAACAAGCTGGACATCCAAAGTATTATATGTTTTATCGCCACACAATCCTACAAAGAACTTAGAAACATCATTGCATATATTTTAGTAAACTGTATAAAATGATGACGTACAGTCCTTTATTAATGTAATGAAAACAATTTCTGAAACTCTTTCCACCTCATGCAGCATTTCAATTGGCCGTTTTAATCGTTTAATTGTTTGGCTTGTAATGTAACCCCATATTTTCGTTTGTCTACATTTGCCTGAGAAATCAGACAAAAATTAATTATTCATACTGTTGGAATATTTTACCAATTAATAACGCTTCCAATTATGCCACGGTAATAGTCTAACTTGGTGAAAACAATTAAAATGAAGATGTATTATTAAGTCGTGCAGACAGCCAACCGTTATTTTTTTATTGTATGCATATGTGTATACACACACATTGCTCCCAACGCAGCCAACGGTTTCACACTGTGTTACGATAGGAAGTTCTCCCAAGAGTCAATGAACGTTCACACTGATTTAGATCGATCCGAAATCGATTCAGATCCATATTAGGCCATGTCTGGACAACAAACACGAGATGAGAGCGATTCGAGAATGATGAGACCCGGCGTTTACACTTGCATTTTTTGCTGCAAATTTAGGTGTTATTTTCTTCTTCTGAAGGATGTAAACAACTGGATGAGTTATGAATGTTCAAATGAGGGTATATCATTGAACTCTAAGGATATCACAACTTATCTACTCGTTCCCATGCATCAGGAGAAGAAAATCGTACTTGGAAATCGCAGCAAAATTTGCAAGTGTAAACGGGCCTCTATAAACTAGACCACCTCTGTAGGTAGTCTCGTATCGGTTCACGTTTTACGAACTAATTTCTTGCTCAGCAGCCTGTAACTTTTTTCTTGTTCATAAACAGTAGTTCTAATTCTATTAATTCATTCAATTTCTTCTGCAAGTGTAAACACTCCAAGGAACGGCCTAGGAACGGTTTAAAATCGTTCTAATTTAGATCGATGTCAAAGTGTGATTGTGTGAGCGGCCCTTATTTAATTCACTATTGTATATCTTCCAACCCTGCATGGTTCACATATGTGCAGGAGATAAGTAGAAACCATTCGGCACATGCATGTTCATTCACGTACTGGTTATTATTAATATTATTATAATCAAAATAAGGATTTCCAACAGGGCTTTTCGATACCTATTCACAAATGGATAAGACAAATTTAATTATAAACTTTTAAAAGTTAAAGTAGTAGAGCTAAAGTTACTTGTAATCATGGAGTTGTAGATTTCGATGATGCATTTGGGAGCACAGAGTTTAGTTCTACATTATGAACTAAAAATGGATTACAAGTTTTAAAATAGTGTTCAAACATGTTACATGTTTTCAATTCAATTCAATTAAAAAAAAGTCTTTTTAATAGATCAAAAGATAAAAATACATATCTTATGTTACAAGTATATATTAAGAATACATTAGTAAAGTTTACATCATATGAATAGGTTATAGTTAAAAATTAATCTATTTGCAAACGACAATTTAAAACGTACCGTGTTCACTCTTGGATACTGACTAAACTCTGTCCTCAAAGAGTAGCTTGTGAATTTTTTTCTTGGTATCAAGTCGACTATGGCACTCTTCTGATTTACAGAAGCTTTAAAAATATTTCTGTCTTGTAGTTCTAAAAGATATCTAATATTTACAGGTTCTGATATATACTTTCGCTTAAAACATCTGTCAAAAAACCGTTCTAGAGTATTGAGTTCGGCTGGAGAAGAACCGTAGACGGACAGGCCAAACGTTATAGTAGATATTACTAGGGTCTTAAATAGATAATCTATCTCACATTGGCTATAGCCTTCTGCCCTGAGTGTTCGTATAACGTACAAGCATTTGTTTGCTTTGACCAATTTACCTCGCACATGACTGGTGAACTTGAGATTGTCTTGAAAAGTAGTACCTAAAATGGGAAGTTCTTTGCATTGGAGTATATTATAAACATTGTCAAGTTGATCATTATATCCCTTCTTCCGGATGATAAGCTCTTTACATTTACCAGGGTTACAAGTCATAAAATTATCATCAAACCAGCTCAGGAATTGTCCAACTGTATCTGTTGATGTATCAGGACCCTCACTCCAAACTGGCACTATTATATTTGAATCGTCCGCATATTTAAAAAAAAAGCGTTTTCGCCGTCTATGTCCACCTCTAAATAATTTAGGAAAATATTAAAAAGGTAGGGGCCACTTACGCTCCCCTGTGTTGTACCCTTATTAACATCCATCCATTCTCCACAAAAATCGTTACAAAAGACTCTTTGCTTTCTATTCTTTAGAAAATTTAAATACCAATTTATGATATAAGGGTTGAGTGGCACAGTTTTTAACTTTTCCGAGAGGAGTGAATGTTTCACTGAGTCGAAAGCCTTGCTAAAATCCATAGAAAACAGTCTAACTGCTTTGCAGTCCGCTCTATCTAAGAAGCTGAGTACTTTGTTCTGAATAGTTAACAGAGCGTTTGTACAACTCCCCCCCCCCCTGCCTGTACGCAAATTGCGTTGGGGATAAAATTTCCTCAACTGTCGACTTGACCTGACTATTATAAACGAGCTTTTCGAAGGTCTTCGCAATTACAGGTTCATCTTAAATGTTCCAAACGAGAAATGTTCCTCTCACGCGATACAATTTTGCACAAGGAAATATGCACTAACTTCCTATTTCTGATGACCCAATCATGACGTTCCACACGTTGGATATCTAACGTTGTTGGGTCTGATCACATTAACTGTGGTCTGATTAAAACACAATGTTTTGCAGTGTGTGCTGATGTTGGAAGACTGAGCTTTGACTTTATCCAAAATTTTTGACCTCGGGTTTACCTCGGCAACATTGTCAGTTTCGAGTCCACAAAACATATTGTTTCCCTCGGTCCCATTCAATAAGTGATAAATGTACAGTATGAATATGTACAGATATAAATAGATAGTAACATACGCAAGCAAACTTTATATCTGGCTTTGATATGCATATATGCACTGCAGTGACCAGGGACGTCGCGAAGCCATCAACATTGGCGGGGCCGGGGGAGGGGGGTGTCGTCATGTTTTGATCAATATTTCCTAGGATTTTGACCAAGTCGTACAAATTTTTCCCGAAAATGTTGTCGACGGGGGGGGGGAGAGGTCAAAAAAGCAAGATAAGCAAGCAAGATAAGCAAGGCTTCGAAATTTTTCATTCATTCAAACAACTGATTTGAAATAAAATGATCACAATGAGGTCGCGGTGACCTCTGGGAACCGTGTGAAAGAAAGAGCCTCGGAAACAAAGAGCCATGAAAGAAAGAGCCACGGATATCCAGGATTCAACTCGATCATGCAGTAACTGAAGCCGTAGACAAGAGAGAATAGGAATTGTTAATTAGGGCTCGTTCAAATAACCGGATCAGAGAGTTGATGAGCAAGTTTGCTCGTGTGACATGAGATTCAGTAGTTATATATCCAGCCAACTCTCATAAACCTTTATACAACTTTTGTTCTGCTTTGACCCCTGGCATGCAGAGTTGAGTAAACTCCTGTAAGGCGTGACTAAAAAACGATTACAATATAAGAATATTATCTATAAAACGAGTTCTGTGTAAGAAATTGTTATTTTTTTCCACTAATTTCCTTTCGCTTTATCCTATAGTAGCATAGCTGTGATGGAATTTCGTTTAGTTTCGTTTCCTGTGCATGGTATAGTTCCAATCACAGTATGAAGTAAAAAATTACTAATTAGTTTTGAAATATAATTAGGTATAAACTAAATAATTTGTTGAACAATTCAATAGAAGAAATGAAAATACCCCAAATTTGGTGTCATTCGATCAATGTTCACTTAATATACTGGTTTTGGAATGAAACCAACTCCTATACACACTACAGTATGTCTACAATTGGTATTGCGGTATATGGCTGTGACCATGCATTAGATTGACATTGTAAATTAACAAAAGTCAAGAAGGTCAACTAATTTTAATTTTTAATACCTTTACAAGTGTGTCATTCAATTCAATGCTTTGCAACATAGCTAAACTATCGTAACGAATGCCTCCAGCACTGGATTTCACATCTTATTTTACATAATATCTTGAATTCATATGTATATTATAAAAGCTGTAAGTAGTTTCAGAGCCAATAGTCGAGGAGCATGCATTTCACTCCTTCGAAATCCAAATTTAAAAATCCGCTCAAATCCTTACAAAATCCGAAAAAATCTACAAAAAAGTCAGGAAAATCCAACAAATCTTGAAAAGTCCAAAAATCCAACAAAATTTATTTTAAAATATCCACTAAGTAATCCGTGGACTTTTAAAAGTCAAAACATCTCGTATATACTGCAGGGGCGTCGCTAGACCTCTTTGAATGGCGGGGTGGGGGGTGGTGTACGTTAATTTTACCGAGTTATTAAGGCAAATTTTGTCGAGTTACTACTTGGCCAGCGGGGCAAAACCTTTTCCGGACATACAAAAAATTTTCGGAACATATCCAATTTTTGCGGACATACAAAAAATTTTCCGCACATATCATAATTTTTCCCAAAATACAAAAATTTTTCCGCACATATCATAATTTTTCCGAAAATACAAAAATGTTTTCCTACATATCATAATTTTTATTTCCAAGCCACTCAAATATTTTCGCTCATCACAAACAATTTTCCGATAAATCCGAAAACAATTAGCCGATTCTAACACTACATTTGCCAAATCTATGATGAATGGGGGGGGGGGGTGTTATACACCATCCCCCCACAAACACCCCTCTAGCTATACGCCCCTGTATATACACGCTTTCTTGGAGTGAAATGCCTCGGCTAATTGTGATTTTTAGTACTGTTGATTTAGATATCGATACATGTTACACAATGAAACTGTGAATGCAACAAGATAAAGAATATATGGTGAAGAATATATTCATTTTGCTTGTTCGATTCATTCGTACGCCATGCACCGCTAAACGCGTGTATATATGAGCAAAGAGAGCTAGTAAAGTGACATCAATCAGATAACATGTCAACTTTTCATGTGTGCAGACATGGAGATATACACATATTTAATAATTTTTGAATTAGAGCTTTCAACAATTATATATGTCATAAATTAGGCTAAGGAACATGCATGTCATATGTTCTGTATGAGAACGTTTGATGCATTTCATGGTCATTAAAGACTGGTCTTTCTATTTCTATTCTTTTGTAGTCGTATTTTAATTTTTAATGTGATGTAAAGTCCGTAATGTAAACAAACACTTTGTTTACATTTTGAACTCACTGCTACAGTTGTAAAATATGATTAGATTATATATTATACTGAATTTTTAACATTTTTCTGGTTCGTTATGCTTGTAAATGAATACAGACTAGAGATTCAATTCAAGAAAGTTCGGAAGGAGCGAAATATTAACAACATTCCAAAGGTTGCTCCCCCACTGATGGAATGCTTTGATGCGCAGAATATATGCGCAGAAAGGACTTTACCGCATCTTTAAGCTATTTAAAACACTCATTGTCGTATTTTATCAGACATAAAACGCTCGGCTGCTCCTCGCGTTTTATACTCTGATAAGACACTCCTACTCGTGTTTAAAATAGTACTTTATAAAATTTACAATCGAAATTTTCACCTACACTGAAAGGCATCAACATTAGTTAAATCGAGTGGTATGCCCAAAAAATCCTGTTATGATATCTCATAGCATACCTTACCAGAACATCTGCACATGCATCTCCATTTTTGTGGTTAAAAATTATACAAATAAAAAGTCGTTTTTTCAGTATCTTTTTCCCTCAGTTTTATCACATACAACATAACTTTCTTAGGCCCTACATCGTGCCAACAACACGAGGTCATCACATCATATTTCACCGCCTTTTTGATCTAACATTTAGGGACTATTGTGGCATAAAATTATTACTTGGACATGCCAATATGGTTCTCATTACCTATATCTACTATTTACTAAACATAAACTTTCAGCTCGACAACTGGGCTCTGTAGCTCAGTTAGTCATGCAGAGCGCTGCACAGGAAACACAAAGCCGGCCCCAAGTTCGCTTCCTGCCAGAATACTGCTTATGTAGTTGCAGCCTGTCTCAGTTGGTTACGTCTACAAAATGGCATTATTATTTATTCGAAAGGTGTTAGTCAAAATATCACACATGCAGAAGCTCTTTTTATAATGAGAGAGCTCAAATTAATCTTAAAAAATTTTCTGGTCGAACAAGAGTTAAACTAAGGTTCAAAAAACTTTTTCCCCACAAAATCCTATTACAACATGGGTCAGACCCTTTTTTTCGATCTATATTTTGTGTTATACCATTATTTATAGCAAAAAAGTTCGAAATTATTTTTTAATTTTGAAAATTTTGGTGTTCCCCTTAAACTGGGAGGCCGGCGCAATGCCCCAGTGCCCCCCTCTGGAAGGCCCTGACCTTTTGGAGAGTGGAAACACTGGTAATGGTCTCTGAGATCTCTGCGATATTATATTTATAGTCATTGATGGCCAGTCTTGCTGAGGCAGAATCATTTGAAAATACAACGTATTTCTCGCGAATATTGAGGGTAACAAATGTTCTAGATATTTATTTTACAGCCGTACGTAGTTTGGTTGATTGTGTTCAGTATTTAGACAACCCAAAATTTTTAAAAACTTTATTTTTGTCTCATGTGTGTATATATATTTTTGTTAAGATATATTCGGAGAAGATGCGGCGTGTTATGTTGTTTTTATATGCACAAACTTTTTCAAATTTGGACAATGTTATAAGGCTGCTGAATCGGCAATCGGCTTCCTGTGATTGTTATAGCGGTACCATATAGTGAGTTACGTGTTGAATGACAACCGGCTAACAAAGTTAATCCTTACACCTGTATTCTAAAAGGTCACTCACATTAATTGAGTGAAGATTCAATCCGAGCATCTCTTGAGTGTCAATGCTGTTTTTGAATAGCTGGAGAGTGAGTAGTTACATAGTAATGTACGACACCAATCCTCTATAGCTATTGAAAAACAGCATTGACACTCAAGAGAAGCTCAGATTGAACCTCCACTCATTCAGTGTGAGCGAGCTTTTAGAATACGCGGGCGGACCTTTATTTTTCTCTCATGTGCGTATATATAGTTTTTCTTATGAGATAAAATGTATGTGAGTACTACCGAAGATCGTGAACATAGTTAAAACGTGTTGTTACCGTGATGCTTAATTTAAAGTGTGTGCCTATATAGTAAAGCCGAGTTTCCACTTACATGCAGTGTTAACGTTTTCGCCCGCCGTTGACGAAAATTTTGCGAACGATTTTGTCTTTCGTGAGTGTGTTTGGTTCTTGTTTACTTACATCGATGAAATTTCTAGCATAAGTTAATGATTTTCAGTGACTGTTGGGGCACGTTAACTCCTCGAATAGGAAAAAAAATGTGTAAAGAACATTTTTACGCCGAAAACGCGAAGTGGAAAATCGACTTTATGCATGCAGAAAGAAGCGAATACGATTGATCTTTTTTTGCACGAAATATAGAAGGAAACAAATATGACATAAGCGTAAACGTGTAACGCTTAATCTCCATAAGTTTTAATATAATAGTGGACAATGTGATTTTGAAAGGGGCTGATTACATGGAGAGTTTTGAGCCCGGGCTCTGTTTCATCCAGGTTTCCCGGTGTCACAGCGGATTTGGACTCCCTGCGTATAGGGACCCCCAGGTATATTTTCATTTTTCGTTTTTATTTGAGCAGTTAAAGGCTAGTTTCCACTCAGGAAAATTATCCGTGGTTTGGAACGGACAAGAAAATTTTTCTTTGTCTTGTGAGCTGTGGGTTGGAACTAATGACTTTAATTAACACAAAGAAAGATAACATCTTGTTTGTTGTTCTAATTTTCCTGAGTGGAAACTATCCTTAAAAGTCAGAGCAATTCCAAGGAGTAAAATACTTGTGAAGGCTTTATGCGCTTCTCAGTTCTTGCACATTCCAAGATCATAGAAATAAACCCATGTACCAAAAAATTATAAATCATAAACTTTGACGGAATTCTCCAATCTAAAAATCTAACATTTGAAAAGAAAACGCTTTCAGTACAATATTCAAAATACGATACGTTGCAATGACAAAAGACGCGAGGGGTCCAAATTCGCGAGGGGAGTCCAAATCCGCTAGCGAATAAAGACCCGCATAGGTCCATATTCGCTAGAGGATTTGGATAAAGTCCTAAGGATAAATCCTATTAAAACAGAGCAAGCGATTACATGACCCAAATTCCAGTTCCGGGCTGAAATTTCAGCCCGGTTTGAGCTGAAATTTCAGCCCGGGCTGAGTTTCAGCCAGGCACCATGTAATCTATAGATAATATTATATTGATATATTGCGTGCTTTCTTATAGGAACAAAGCAACATAATATATTGATATATTGCGTCGTTAGCAACATAATATATTGATAATACAAGGAAGCATTGAGAAGTATCTATATATTCAATTGATGGACATTCTTTGGTCGTCAAATGTCCAATGGACATTTCATATGTCCATTGGACATTTCATATGTCCATTGGACATTTCAAATGTCCATTGGATCCAATGGACCATTGGACATTATACTCATTCAGTATATCCACGATGCCCTTTCCCGGTGGTTACAAAGTCCGGTTTAGTCCATTGGATCCAATTGACACTCGAATATCCAATGGACATTCGATATGTCCATTGGACATGCACATGTCCTATGGACATTTGAGTTGTCCATTGGATCCAATGGACAGTCATATGTCCAATGGACATTTCATATGACCATTGGACATTTGCGTTGTCCATTGGATCCAATGGACAGTCATATGTCCAATGGACATTTTATATGTCCATTGGACATTTGCGTTAGTATTGGACATGTATGAAGGCTGTCCATGCAGTTTTTGAACCCCAGCAGCTCCATTGCTGGACTGTTACCTGCTATATTTCTCTATTATATAAAATGAGGATATAGATTAGTAAAGAGGATAATATGCTTTTTAGCTTGTATTAAAATTAGTAAGGCTCTAACCCCATGTCAAGTAAAATCATCGCCAGTAAAAGAATAAAGTGGTCGGGATACACTGTGCCATTGGCAGATACTGGCAGTGTTGTGAGGTTTTTTCCTTCATTTGGGTATTCGGTTTCACATTTGTCAAAAAAAAGAGTCAGCCATGTTTTTATCTCTGCAACATTCGCTTTTGCCATTTACTTTACAGTTACCGAACTGTTTCTGTAACTAATATAATGATAGAATGAGTTATTTTCCACTTGGAAAAGCTACAGTAAGTACATAAAATATGGGTGTCTATATACCTACCTGAACCAAGGAAAAATCAATGATGAGGGGAACTGTGCAACAGAGCAAAGTGTAGGCACAGTATTTGGCACTGTGACCCATGCTGTCATGCCTGCCATCACCAGCAATGACTAGAGACTGTTCTGTTGCTTTCAGCTTGGCCATCATTTTCTCTTGGTATTTCTTCCAGTACAAATGAACAGTGGGAAAGAGTTTGTTATAAAGAAATAGTTAAAAATAATGTTTCATGCAGTTACATTATATGTGTAACTATAAAGCCTGTAGTTCATGCCATACCCTGACCCTGTGACAGGACCTAAAAATTGGCATACATGAAGTAGTCCCCCATCTGCATATAGCCATATACTCACAGCCTGATGTTTGAAGTACACGCGTAAAAACTGATCAGGTTGTTCGGCGTTGTTCATTGAACGTCATACTGTGTATTTATATTCTATAACTGAACAGACAACGTCAAAATCTTATCTATTTGTTAAATATATGTACATGAACTTGCGGATAAAGCTCGACAACTCGACTCTGTTGCTCAGTCATGTTAGAAAACTGCACCGGAATCGCAGGACCGCAGGTTCGACTCCTATACCTGAGGACATATATATATATAGATACATTTTACGCAGCTGCTGCTGATTAGGTCTAAAATAAATGCACAAAATTTGCATTCGAAATTTCCATCCACAGTACCCCTTCTACACCCTCGGCCTCTTGATCGGCAAGACAGTGGGCAAACGGATCAAACGGTGCTAGATCTTGGGATTCAAATACCTGTGCAAGTCAATTGGACTGAAGTTATTTTCACGGCTGGCCGAACAGCTTGTTATTATAAGAATTCGAGTCACAATATTACAACAAAGAGTTCCGAACGTCAATAAAATGTTTGCTACTAACCTGCGAAAGCAGACGGGTTTTTTTGGGGAGGACTTGCGGGCGAGAGTCCGCCCCAAAAAACTGTCTGCTACGCAGGCTATATACTTTTCCACTTGACCACTTGCACTTCAAGATGTTTGCATGCCTCTCAAAACTATTTGACCAATCGAAATGAAGCATGGCCATCGACAGTCAATATGATGGAGGCAGGGACACTTGCGTCTGTTTAATCGATTGCCAGAATATTATCATAATCAGCTACATTGGGCAAGAGATATATTTACGGAAGAAAATTGAATGGAAATTCCATTCTTGTTCTTTGGCCAAAACGGAAATTAAGCACAAAGAATTAAAAGTGATATACACAACATAAGACAACGTTGCAATTGCTGTCGCAACAAAGGTAATTTATTCATATGTTCTTGGATAAACGAATAGTAAGTCTTTGTCTTTGAGTATCTCTTAGATTAATTTCACACGTATATTTGACTTTTTAAGAGATATTTTATTATGCATAATAGTTCGACACTGCCCAATACTTCATAGTTCCCGGTGTCAGTATATACGTCTTTCCGGCATTTTCTATCTGCCAAAAATCAGGTCTCGTTTATTGCCGAGACTCCGAGAGCGTGAAATATATCTAAACTGTAAACAGAAGTAACGCATGGACTGAGGGAAATTGTTGAATTTTGACCCGAACAACCGGTAAGTGTAATTCGCACTAATTGCGTGAATTAAAGTTTTAACCAAGTCGTTATATACTGTATACTTTATAGTCTGTCGTATAGTGATTAATGCTGTGATAAACAAGATCGACGGCACAAAGAGAACTGTGATATTCATAGCCACAGACAAAACCCAACACTAGTCTGAATAAAGTAGTCTGTCAATATTAATATTATTGCCATCATTTGATTTATTGAACTATTGAAGTGAGTCACAATTATTGACCCGGCGAAATTGCGCTTTTATTGTTCTGATATACTGTGTAATCAGAAAAGGTTTATATCAGTAACTATATAGTTTACCGATTTCCTTAGGAACATGGCTAGATAGCTTATCAGATATATAATTATACAATTGAAGTCTATTAAACGACCACCCTCTGGGTTCGGCATCACACATGTGGCCGCTAGCTCTGAGGTGTATGTCGCTTGGTTTTATTCAAATGGCAATATAAATGAGGAGCGCATATATAAAGTTGACAATAACCGGATGATGGTTTGGAAATTTCTTGCCAAGTCGGCGGTAAATGCCTGCGAGAAACGGATTTTGTACTGTACGTGCTAAGATAGATATTTTAATGGCAACATGCGCGCAATAAGGAAATGTCATACAGGCATATAAACGAATTTGAAACAATCTCATCTCAACATTCATTCAATTTTGAAATCATTTAAAAATTAGGCTATTGTTAGTTCAATATGCATATACGCCGTTAGAATTTTAGTTAAGATCAGTTAGAGACAGATCATAATATTAAACAACACGGGAAAAAAAACATTTGGACGCAGGGCTATTTTATAGTAATTGTATTACAGGGAATATTTTTGGACTTTAATACTTGGCTGCATGTTGAAAAATGGTGACCGTTTAATCCAGAGGTTCGACTGTATATCTCCGATCCATATATCCGAAATAATTTCTCAAATAAAATCAAAACAGAATGATTTGCCGATTTACATGCACGATTTCATTTAAACTCGATCATTCCAATCATAATGATTAATGACTGTTCACTCTGATACCATGCAGGTATAATCTAATATTTTTAATTCTACAATGCTTTGCATACTCTTCATGTAAGATACATACCTTTCAAAATTTAAATATATTTACGGCGGAATTGTGGATGTAAATTAATCATGTAAACCAAAAATATCTTAAATAGAGCAAAGAAATTTAAACCAAAAGCATTAGAATTTACTGTTTTGAAACCTGAGATGCTTTTTTTGCAAGCGGTTCAAAAATGTAACGGCGTTGGTGTTCACATAAAGCCGCCAAGCGCTCCGTTTTCATCTCGCTCCGTTCAGAAACCGTCCTGAAATTATTATGGCGAAAGTGATTTTTTCAAACAACTTCGCTCCGGCCTAGTGTGATCCGTAGTCTAAAAGCAAGAAATATGTAAAATAATCGTCAAAAACGCAAGAAATATGTAAGGTTTCAAAAAAATTTAAGGCCTTCGAAAATGTTTTCCTATGCCGTGCCGTGAATGAATACAGCGAGGGAGTAACCGAAGGAAATATTAAAGAGAAGTATCCAATTTACATGTTCTCATGCAATATTGGGTATTGGCTTCAACTTTGTGCGCGCACAAGCACATCTCATGTGTGTATGTATTAATTTCCTACGCAATATTGATACTGTATTATTATTGTGTATTTACCACCGACGCTTCTCAAGCAAAGATATTATTATAAAAGGCTGGGGAACAACACACCACTTTAGAGTTTAATCAACTGATTCGTGCCGGCTCTAGCCGATGCCGCCAACAGCTCATCAGATTGAAAGAACCATATGTTATAACTTATAAATAATGTGGAAAAGTACTTATTGCAATATTGCATATTGGGTAAGAGATTAGTTGTTGGAAATGCCATGTGATTTGACTTCCTGTAATGTTCTGTACTTTTGTTTATAATGTCGATCGTCTGCCTCATGTAAAAGCAGTCTGTGAAACTTTGATAAAGGCTCTTTGGCAGGTGCTTATAGATAAGACTATTATTAATGTCCAATTAGCAAGTTAAAACGTTTTATTTTAATTCAAATCTCTTCTTTCAATAATATAGAACTAACATGTCTGCTCAAGGTCGACGAAAATCGAGGTTTCATAGCCTCTGTGACGACCACGAAGATGGTAAAGGAATGAAAAATGGTTTACAGTGTCGTTTTACTGTATCTTACGTGGGTGACACTGTGTGGCGGGACGAATATGCGTATGTTCATGAGATTATGGAAAATGTATTACCCAAACAAATGTCTGGAAAATTTTGGTTAAAGAAGGAAGCTAAAAGAAAAGTTTGTCTATTCATCGATGTTTGTTCCACGTCTGTGTTTATTCAAAACACTGAAGGAATCTCTGAAAATTGTTTTCAATTCTGCAATATCAAAGAAGTCATATATTGCGGTAACATGAAACAGTATTCGAAAAATGTTATCTTGGTTGTTGATGGAGAAGCGGATTCGGCTGTGAAAGCTCATATTTTTTCATGTAGTAGCGTAAAGGAAGCCAAAAAGGCATTCAAAGTTTTTACCGACGTGTTCGCACATGTCAGTAATGAGAAACTGGATTTCAATCTGCAAGTTGAAGCTGAAATCACAGACGTCTTTAGTGATGAAATTACAAGTTCTTCCCACCTATCGTTGACAACCAACGTAGAGACAGGAAAACAGAATAGCTTATCAGAAAGCATGGCAATGTCGCCAGAGGTTGGAGACAATTTTGTAGACAATGCATTTACAGCCTTTGCTCGCTCGAGATCATTTAATTCTGGTAAAAGATATACGCCTGGTTCAAGGCAAAAGTTATTGCGTCCTTATTCATCACCTGGAGGAAATCTGCATTAGCTGACTGGGAACTGATATCAGTTGTAGCCTTTTCGAATGGACGTTTCTCAAGATAGATTCACAATCTCCTCTTAGACCAGCCTAGACCTTGGGCATTTACTCGGCAGGTGGGAGTTGTTCGCAGATCAATAGTTTTCATGGCGTTACGAGGCGGACGCCGTGTATTTCTTGCTGTCGCCCTTTCTTCGCCTCACCCCAAACTTGCCTGCAATCCAGCCTCGTACTCAGACGTTCTAGAGAAAAAATATAATCGCGCTAAGCTACTGTATAGCGATCAGGGCGAGCGCGCATGGGTGCGCGCTCGCTCAGCTTAGCCACTGATCTCTATACAGTAGCTGTAGTTACCGCAATCATATATTTTTTCTCTAAAGCGCCTGGGTACGAGGCTGCCTGCAGTCAGTGCCATTAAAAGGTGCGACACTTCGATTGGAGGGTTATTTTGTAAACAATTGCAGAAATAACATGTAAAATCCGCCTCCCCCATTTTAATGTTGCTGCGCGCGTGTTGAGAATATCATCAGCAACACAATACAACACTACAAAACTAACTGATCAAATAAAATGCCAATTTTAGCCTATCAACATTGAACAGGGGCCGGGCTTATGTTAAAATCTTAGCCTAACCGGTCCATACATTTTGTCACTGATTGTAGGTTTCAGTCATTTCGTGTGAAACGCGCAAAAATACTAATAGCAGACCCGGCCTAGATCTAAGCTAATCTTAGACCACTTCTCGCGCAATTTTAGTATGCACATTTTCCAATTTGTGTTGTTACCGTAAACCTCCGACTATAAGCCCTGGGCTTATATTCTTTCGTAAGCGATTTTTGATGGGCTTATACAAGGGGTGGCTTATAGACATGGACGATCTTTTGTGTAATAATGATAAACAAGTAGTGGTAATGGTGATAAACAATAGTGATAAACAAGTGGGCTTATATTCGGGTGGGCTTATATTTGGAATAAGGTGAGCGTTAGTACATGTGGTGGGCTTATATACGGGGGGGGGGCTAATATTCGGTGGGAGCTTATATTCTGAGGTTTACTATTTGAATTTATTTCCCAACGACAGATGTCTCAATTTTCGTCGACTTCTAATAATTTTTGTCGAGCACAATATTTCATTTAAACAACCTGCAAAATAGAACAATGAACACCATAACGAATATAAAATCCTTCAATGAATACGTTTCTCTACATGTTTTTGAAGGAGTTTTCCACCATATCATATGAGATTTCGACTGCACATCCAATGGCCAGGAATCACGGGCATAATTATTCTACTTTCTTACTAAGTTAAATATCATCGATGCATAATCCGTTGAAACATGGCTTCTGCAGCATTAAACAGTAAATGACATTACTCGGTATTATCTGCCTCAATTTCTCATGGTTGCAGGGTAACAAAGTCTGCAGAAATATTTAGTGTAATATTTGCCTGGTTTAACTTACTGCCTATTCTGAATTTTCATTTGTTCCTATAGAGGTAAATGGACAAATGTCTTAAAACTAACTAACCGATGTACAAATAGTGAAAATGCAGAATAGGCAGTAACTGAAATCAGGCCAACATTACAACGACTTACAGTATTCTCAGATTTTGCGATTAACAATGTCGCGTTCTATCACAGAACAGCGGCGCAGTCGAGACTCCGATTTGCTTATTTCAATGCAATTGGGAAAAAGTACGTACTTACCAAAACCGGGCGGAAAAGGTCTGGAACGAGGTTGTGAAGGTATCTTAGGAAATTACTATACTCGCTTGAGTGAATGAGAGAATGACACGAGTCAGTAAAGTAGTAGAGATCAACAAATACCGCGGTACTGACTAGCTAGCCACGCTAAATTGTTGAAATCAAGTATCAAATACTATCTAATTAACTACATATAGACTCACAAGAAGATCCGAAGGAGAAGACTATAATGAAATTGAGAAATTGAATATGAACTACACACGTAAAAACGTGCAAGTTGATGCAGATCGATCTGTAAACAAATTGTAACAAAGTTGTTGTCAAAACGATACGGCAGGATGTGTTTGCACTGCCTGTTCCCAGTTGTTGTGACATATCTGGAACACTTTCTTGTCACCGGCTTGACAAGGTTGATAACGGTAACAGATCCACTTGCCACAAGTTGTTCCAACAAGACCAATACAGGCTGCAGTTCGCAACAAGTTGCTACAAGCTTATTAATGCCGGTCTTCAACTTTATGTAAAGACGATATTTGTCTCGCTGCCATGGGCGTACCGGGCGGGGGGGGGGGGGCGGCAGCCCGTCCAGTTTGTTGGGCAGTCGGGCAATATTCGCTGAACAGTCGGGCAATTTTGGTTTATTAAAAAAATAAATTGGACAAATTCTGTAAATTTTGTGGTCAATTTAGTGATGTTTCCAAAATTTTTGTTAGGTTCCGGAAAATTTTGGTATGTCCGGAAAAAATTTTTGACCCCTAAAATGGTACACTGACCGAAATTTTTTTGGCGACGGGGGGGGGGTCGCCAAAACAAATTCCGGAAAAAAATTTTTCGGT